TATATCTTTAAAATATTTGTTACGAGTATCAACAGAAATTAAACTTACGCTTGCGCCTGTATCAACTTCCATGTCTATTATGCGTTTTTCAACATTAACTTTCAAAATAGCTGGATTAGACTTACTTGACACCTGAATGTTCTTGCAGAATCCCACGAATTCTTCATCGGTCGACTCTTCTTTTGCTTCCTCCGTGACATCCTCTTGATCGACTAGTAAATGGACTTTCTTCTGTTTATTCCTACAGACTCTGGACGTATGGCCTTGACGATGACATAAAAAGCACTCCCACTCTTTGGCTGGGCACGTGTCTGGATTATGGAACCTTCCACATCTAAGACAGGACTGGCCTCGACTTGACCTTTGACTAACAGACGTAGACGTAGAGTTTTTATTCGACTTTTGACTGGACGATGCTAAGCTCCGACTGGACTTCGGACTACACGACACTGACATTTGACCACGTACTTGACTTTGACTGACATCCTTCCTTCTTTGACTCACTTGTTTGGACGAGTTTCCTCTATACAACTTATTTACTTTACCATCTTGCTGTAACTCAAGGCTCTCTGACTGTATTAATTCTTGTGCTAAAGCCAACTCGCACAGCTTGGAAAACGACAAATCCTTCTCAGACAGTAGACGGTTTTGTATCTTCTTATTTGACATACCACTTATAAACTTATCTCTCAGTGCACGATCTAAAAAATTTCCAAACTCACACAAATCCGCTTGTTCTTTGAGTTTACTTATATATTCAGCGATCGACATACTACCTTGACTAATTTTATAAAACAGGTGACTTTCGAACGTGACTGACTTCACTGGAGCCATTCGCTGCTTTAATATTGCCTTTAATTCCTCGTACGACTGACTAGCAACTTTGTTCGGTTTGACAGCGTTTTTCATCACTCTGTATGCTTCACTTCCAACCAGGGTGACAAATAAATCGACTTCATGATTACTTTCGACTTGATTGCACTTAAACAGGTGATCCATTCTCTCCAGGGTATCGATTCCCGAAGTTAGTCGATATGCTCCGTGATGTGCATGTGATGTGACCGGCTGCCATGACGTCATGATCGTATACGATAGGGATAAGTTCAAGTTTAGCTGCATTCCCGAATCGTGGACAAACTTTATGCGCTAACCAATCACAGACAAGAATTGAACTGTCATTTGTCAGTTTTGTATTTTGTTTTGTTTTTACATTAAGGATACTGCTATTAATAACCAGAAAATCTTCGAACAATTCCATGTTTTATTTCACAGAAAATATGTGAATTTATAGGTTAGGGCACTGAATAACCTCTATAGCAAAACAGCTGCAAGATTCGTCCTGTAGCTGCAACTGCGCATGACTTTCACGCAATGAGTGGTCTAGACCAGTCGTTGCGTTCGATCAACTTTTCGCTCGATGTGGTAGGTTCGAGAATGCAGTGACATTCACGTTCACATCAAGGTCAGTCGATGTGAACAAAGCACATCTTCGGGAATCGACGCCCAGGTAGCTTTCGATTTCCGTTTTTTCTAAGTCGATGGGTTCGATCGTACCAATAAGTGACATTTTGTTGATTGTTGTTTTCTATGGTTTTTACAATGACATTCGACTGCAACTAACTTCCGACTGGACTGATGGAAAATGGCTGACAAGACTCACTTCCGGGTTTGGAGGTTACGACTTCGATTTTTCACGGATTTTCGCTTTGTTCCTTTTTATCTCGTCGCCAATTTATGTTGTGTCTTTACACGAGGTGTGACCGGACCATTGACTATACACAATTCGTTAATTAGTCTTTATTGAACACAACATAACAAGAGACATTGAACGACCTTTTTGTGACACTTTTCTCTCAACTCTATAGTACCAACTTAACTTACTAAACTTAACCCAATACATAACAGTAAGCACCAAAGTGAAAAGTGTTAATTACAAAAAAGAAGGGTCTTGATGAGATCTATAAAAAAACTTCTACACTTCTTGCGTCGGGTTCAAAATAAAGGCGCTAAAGGGCATTTTCTAAATGTTATACTATGACCAAAGATAATAATTGCAATGACTCTATTAAAAGTAGTCGGAAGTCGAAAAAATGGGTAAAAGATATAAATTTTATCTATCGCAAATTGGAGAACAGGCCTATTTTAAATGAAGTGAATGCAATAGCTGCTAAAAGAACCGAATATCTATACGCCATCAAAAGATAGAGAAACGGGTTGGAATCTATTTTTTACAGACGAAACATGGTGTGGCGCAAACCATTCAAAAAAATTTGGTTGGGTGGAATATATAACCCCGGAAAACCGCGACAGCTTTGACCAATATCGAGGAACCATTCAAGAAATCAATGGGTACAGGGGTGGAATCAAACGACCTTCTGGAGCTGGGCAACGGATCATTATACTTGACATCGGCAACGAAAACGGTTTTTTACCAGGATGTAGCAAATGCTTCATTGGGAAGAAAGGGTCAGCAGATTATCATGACGAAATGAATAAACAGCATTTTGAGGAATGGTTACGATATGTCTTGGGGGTGATGCCCGATAAGTCAGTTATTGTACTTGATCAAGCACCTTACCGTACAATGTTGAATCCTGAATTTCGAAACCCAACAACTGCATGGAGAAAAGCAGACATAATTGAATGGTTAAATAAGCGAAAAGTTCAGGTACCAGAACACTTCGATACATTCGATCAAATGACAAGGCCTTCACTTTTGCAATTATCTCGCATGTACAATTACAAAAAACAGTATTTTCTGGAGAAAGTGGTAAACGATGTTCGACAGGATAAAGTGAAGCTTTTATGACTTCCAGTAGCCCATTGTGAGTTCAACCCCATTGAATTGATATGGGCGTATGTCAAAAATAAAGTTGCAAAGCTAAACACAACATTCAAAATTAAAGACGTATTAGACCTCTGCAAAGCAACATTGGAAGATGTGCCAAAAAGCGTTTGGGCTAATTGTGTTCACCATGCCAAGAAAGTAGAAGATATGTACCGAGAAAAAGAGAATTTAATAGATGTCGCCATAGAACCTTTGGTAATAAATCTCAACGACGAGGATAGTGATGACGCAGTTATCGACTTTGATGAAGATGATCTCGAAGAACATAGCGATAATGATGATAATGAATGTATATGAGTTGACCAGAGACTTGCTATAACTAGACTGCGCTTAACGTATCTAAGGTGTTGTCGACACAGTATTCAACACACAATGCACCGCGGGGCAAAAATCGCTGAGATGATGTATGCAATATAATGAAATAAGCTGTTATTTTAGATGTTCCGTTCATTAATCTTTCTCGTGATTAGCTCGAATTAGTGAACAGATAAATTTCTGTTGAGAATAAACCATGTAGACGATTTTAGAAAGGTACCTACGAAGGTGTTAAACAATAATGCAATACAGAGCGTTTTCGACTTTCCCATTCACTTAAAATAACGTAGAACTATTGTTCGACATCCTTTACCAGCAAGATAACGGCAATACCTATTTGCCTATTAGGTATAGACGTAACTAAGTACTTACTGGTACTAAGTATATTTCAGGTTTTGTTACAAGAAACATAGCTAAGTCTGTTAAATGTTCCATATGTGCAGATGCGATATTCGCATCAGAGAGTCATTCAAAGCTTTTAACTAGAAAAAATCGTGGAGGATTGTTGCACGTATCAAGCGATGCATTAAAAATTTGCCAAATTGCGGAAAATGTGTTCAGGTTTTTCATTCAATCCACACCACACCGCGTTGTAAACAAAATGGTTATCAGCAGTCTAAGAAAAATAAATAACAGTTACAGCCCAATTGGGTTTTTGGATAGGCATTATATTGAATCAAAATCCGCTAAATAATCATATCTTACTACTTACATCTTTAGTTTTAAGATTATATTTTCCCATACGTGTTCACCACCAAAATACACATATAAATCAAATTAGGACTAGAGTAAGGCAGTTATATACCAATTTAGTTCAAATAAAATACCAATAAATTCGATTAAAACAGTTAACAGCTATATGTTATCTTTTTTTGCTACTAAAATTTAGGATAACTGAAGCAAGCTACAGAAAGTACGTCTGCCCCGCAATGAACAGTTGGTTGCCTATCCTATCTTGACAACAGGCGTTCATAGAAAAATCTACGTTACGCGCGGTCTAGTTATAACAAGTCTCTGGAGTTGACTGATTAATACAGAATAACAATTTCATGCTATATTACTTAACCGTGTACTTAGCGTGTGTGCCGCTTTATACGAAACGTTGCTGCAAGGTACAACTTTGCGATTAAATGACCTTCCCCCAACACCGCTCGAGGTATTGCGTTTATCTCTTTCGCTCAAAATATATTAATTCCTGCAGCCCTTCACATTTTTTTGTCATTGATTCTATTCCGTGATCATATCATTTGTAATTGTCCTTTATCGATATGAACAAAACTTTTTAAAGTGTATCTTATAATAAGCGAATAAACGCGTCTGTCATTTTATCGCTGTAACGTTTGCGTAATTATACAGAAATGCATAAAAATGTATCGACGTATAGTTAAAGGTGTATTCTATCACATACGTAAAACATTATACCATTTGAGTGAATACTTTTTTTGTAATTAAATCCTAAAGTTCTGAGTTCGTATACTTTCATTGAAAAAGCGCGCTTTCCCGTACATATTTCACTATCACATTTTCCCAAATTTAACAAGAAATATGACATTACGTACGGCAAACGTAGAAATAGTTGACGATTATATTACGCTTTATTTAATAAAAATCGGTTGGGTAGTTTTTTTTTTTATAACCGTTTAAAGCCAGCGGACTCTACATTTTACTCCGATAGTAGTTTACCATGTGAAAGCGCTAAAACTGTGCATTCGAATTCAAAGTTTTCAACATTTTTTTGGTCATGCACATATCCCATATGTCCGTTATTTTTCTTTTTTATATAACCACACTGTACAGTACATAAATACAAAAAAGTTTCATACTTTTCTTTACTTACCTCATACTTGTCTTGAATCTTATTATCTAAATATGTTTTGATCCGCAAATCTCCAGTATCTGGATTTATAATAAATTCATCAGTCATTTGAACATTTTCATCATTCAGTTTAAAATGGTATGTAACTCGACCATTTTCACCATTATCTTTATCAGCAGCTTTCACAGTCATTACTAGATAATCAGCGATGGGAGTCTGAAAGGCAGAATTACTTTTCAAAAAACCAAACGGTCTCATTTGCTTTACATCTGTAATTTCGATAACTGATCTGGTAGACATCGGATGTATGAAGTTTGGCTTGTGATCGTTAACGTTCACAACTTTAATGTTAACAATGCATGTATCGGTTAACGGTTGATTGCCTCCATCGCGTGCTTCAACCAGTAAACTAAACGTTCCTGTTCTTCCTGCTAATGATTTGTGAACATATAAAATTCCTGTATCCTCGCCCAATAAGAAAATATCTGCAACAAATGTTTGTAACACAATTCGTATTTATTTAACTATGGTGAATACCATCATCATTTCCGGAATGGATTGTATAAATAACATTTCCGTTAATTCCAGCATCGTCATCCGTGGCAAAAACTTGTGTGATTTTGAATGGTGGATTAAACCTCACATTTTCGCTAACGGTGGTGTTATAAATTGATTGATTAAATTCTGGCGCATTGTCGTTTATGTCTGCTACCGCGATATATACAGGTACGGATTTTGTCCGTCTTAAATTTCCAACTCCACCATCACTTGCCATAACTTGAATAACAGTTTCATTTAACATCTCGTGGTCCAAAAACAATGGGTTTTTAACTGATATTTCTCCAGAATGTGAAGATATCTCAAAATTTTCGCTATGTTCACCGAGCAAACTATACGAGACAACTCCATATTCATCGGCATCTGAATCGTCTGCGTGCACTGTTACAATATATGTTCCATTGGGCGAATTTTCGTCCACAGTGGCATTGTAAGAGGTTTCCGAAAATATTGGAGAGTTATCATTAATATTAAGAACCGTTATGTCTATGAATGCTGACGTATTCAGTTGAGGAATACCAGAGTCATATGCATATATTGTAAAATTTAATTTTGTAATCATTTCATAGTCGATCATCTTTTGCAACTGAACAATTCCTGAAAAAACAAACACACTGATTTATCAAGAAATCAAATGCATTTTTTACCTGTTCCGTTATTAATTTCGAAATACATATTTGGTTCTATTGAGTAGCCTGCAATGGGAGAGTCATCATCAACAGCTGTAAATGTTCCTACTATTGTTCCGACAGGTAATTCCTCTTCCAACTGCAAATTGTACTGGGGCATTTCCTTTGTCCAAGGAGGAAGAAATATTGGTGGATGATCATTTATGTCAATTATATTAATTGACAAGATACCTACAAACATTAAATTACGAGAAAAGGCTCTGTACTAAATAGCCGTGAGCAGTAGTGAAGGCAATACAGAATCTTAGTTTGTTCATGCAATAATTAAATAAATAATTAAAATTTATAAACAAAGCTTTCTACATATGTCTTATAAGATCTTCAATCTATTACCATTGAGAGTAAGAAACCTAAGACATAGTTACATTGAAATATAAATTAAAGACTTTCCTTTTACAGAAAGTCTTTTATAGTGTCTATGAATTCGAAATTTGTGATTTAAGTGCTATTTAAATAATATGTTTTCCTTATTTGACTTTTGTAAATGCACAATTCTAAGCATGTTAACAGCAATAAACATTATTATTATTAATTACTTTAAAGAATTAATCATCTGGAGCAACACAAAAGGAGGAAGTATGTCGAAATTCCCGGTGTAAAACAATCTAAAGATGAATCGGCAGAGGAAAAGTTTCAGAAGATTTTTGAAGAAATAGGGTGCGCGGCTTATAAATCGGTTGGCCAAGTGTCTCTAAAAAAAAGGCGACTTTCGACTGGTTAAGTTAAAAAGTGAGGAGGATAAAGCTAATTTTCTACGCAGCGGTCGACAGTGGTCGCGTATTGTATCGGTCAAAGAAAAGGAGTCAAACGGAATGCTATATTTTAATGAAAACTTAACGCATGAAAATCGGACAATCTTTACAGAGGCGCGAAAAAGGGCGTTTTCATTAAAATATAAATTTGTTTGGACAAAAAAAAGAACGAATACTAGCCAAACGAGAAGAAAATTCAAACGCGATACGTGTGCAATCGGTCAGTGATATCCACAAATACATTACGTAGTTGCATCTGTACTCTCCATAAGTTAACGCGATAACGGATTAAGTTTGTTGGATCTGTAATCATTAGATTAGAATTCTTTTTAGTGGTTTATTTACATTACAATTTATCAATTTACTTTACGATATTTAATTTTATTATGGAAACTTTTGATTTTTGTATTATACGCTCATCGAATCTTTAGACACATTTCATCTGTTTAATGTTTATATGTACTGTAAACATTTTGGGTATAATTACAGAAGTGAAATCATTTCTTCAGGATGTTAAAATTACTTTTATTTTATTTATGGTGGAATATGAGATAAATATTTGCAAAATTAAGTTAATTAAGTTAAGAAGAACTAAAAATCCGAACTCTAGAGTGACGCAAACGTTCAAACAGTAAAGAATTGTTACTTATATTGTAACGGAAATGCTCCAGACATGACGTCGCCTTTGGCGCTCTGGAATTTTCTACGCGCGCGATAGTAGGAACATTCGAGAATGTTCGGGACTTACATTGCTTGCGTGTATAAATGGTTGCGGACCGAACATCGCGGCAGTCTACTACCGAACGAGTACGTAAACATCGAGCACGAAAAGATAAATTGCGAAGTGTGAGTGATATAAATAATCGATATAAATTTGTGAGTGATATAAATAATCGATATAAATTGTACGGATTTTATAGTGTTTTAGTTCTGTTTAATAAATATTGATATAAATCGAACCCGAATTTAATAAATCACGTTACAATATGATAAATCTTTGTAAATAATTTTTTATTATACCTGAATCACAATCTCCGTTTTAAACACTCAAATGCGTGCGAAAAAGGGCCTTTAAAACACACCTGCTTTAAAGTTGCTAAGTAACGATACTTCAAGTATGACTTTTGAAACTGTCATCTGGATGAAATAAAAAATCCTCTTAGGTCGCTTTCTGTAAATGCAGAACATTTCTTTGGCTTTTGTACCTATCCTTTGGTAAAACGCGCGTAATTTAGGGTATGCTTCCAAATCTGTTCCACTTTTTAATCGCAGCATTGCTTTAAAGTTTTGAATGAATGCACTAAAAGATAGAAGATTTAAATACCTTTGACAGTTCGGTCATATATGCCAGCATTATCGATGCATTTAAGACTTTATTATTCGTAAGTAACTTCCTATTCATCCATGGAAACAACTTTTCATATTCCTGATAATAGGTTTTACTGGATTTGGATTTTAAACCTACCAACGTTTGTTTAGATTTTACAACAAGCGATTTAATGGACGGTGTATTATCTTTTTCAACGGAAATCGTTTTATTCACAAAGACGATGATTTTTTAAGCAAACGTCAAGTGACATTTCCATGGCAATCGTGAAATTTCGAACACCCAGCCCACTTAATTAAACATGTATTCGAGTATAACGTCAATATGATGTCATTGTATTTCCTATTTTTAAATTATGCTGCAGGTATAATAAAAAATACTATCGGGCGATCAAAAATGAGTGACTGTCGAGTCGCCTTTGAAAGTTGAAGTTAAGTACGATTTCCCATGTAAACAAAAATTCCAAAGGTGACTCGACGGTCACTCATTTTTGATCGCAATGTATAAGATACACGTGTATAATTGGTCTTTAAAGCACTTGCAACGTTAAAGGCACTCCGCTTTGCGTCGTGCCCTTAAACTCGTTGCGCGTGCTTTAAAGACTTTATTATACACTTGTATCTTAATATACTATTTTATTATACCTGAATCACAATCTCCGTTTTAAACACTCAAATGCGTGCGAAAAAGGGCCTTTAAAACACACGTGCTTTAAAGTTGCTAAGTAACGGTACTTCAAGTATGACTTTTGAAACTGTCATCTGGATGAAATAAAAAATCCTCGCTTTCTGTAAATGCAGAACATTTCTTTGGCTTTTGTACCTATCCTTTGGTTGAAGCTTTCACAAACGCGCGTAATTTAGGGTATGCTTCCAAATCTGTTCCACTTTTTAATCGCAACATTGCTTGAAAGTTTTGAATGAATGCACCAAAATATAGAAGATTTAAATACCTTTGACATTTCCTTCATATATGCCAGCATTATGGATGCATTTAAGACTGTATTGTATTCGTAAGTAACTTCCTATTCATCCATGGAAAGAACTTTTCATATTCTTTATAATAGGCTTTGCTGGAGTTGGGTTTTACACCTACCAACGTTTGTTTAGATTTTACAACAATCGATTTAATGGACGGTGTATTATCTTTTTCAACGGAAATCGTTTAATTCACAAAGACGATGATTTTTATAAGTAAACGTCAAGTGACATTTCCATGACAATCGTGAAATTGCGAACACCCAGCCCACTTAATTAGACATGTATATTTGAGTATAACGTCAATATGACTTCATTGTATTTCCTATTTTTAAATTATACTGCAGGTATAATAAATAGTATATTAAGTATGGAGAACGGTAAGGGATTTTTACCGTTCGAAGACAATTGTTTGGAGGAGGAGCGAAGCGACGACTCCAATTATTGTCTGAGAACGGTACCCTTAACGTTCGACGTGCTTATAACATTTTTTGCGCGATCGAAATTAAAATTATGCAACCAATATAAATATGCACTAAGAAATTAACGAGCAGAATAAATCGAAATGATCGAAGTGGTATGGTGTATATCACTAGGCAACCAGTTTAAATGTCAAAATTGAAATTAATAATTTCATAAAAATGTGCATGTGTCTGATGTAGTTTACTAGCTTTGCACTTCCTTTATGACTTTATTAGCGTCTTGCTATAGGAAAAACAGCACAAATTGTACGTTTAATTTACCTAACAATAATTAAAGATTAAATGTAATGTAAGACTGTTGATTTTTAAAAAGGCGTCGGTAAGTATTTTTGCTGTTCTGTTTTTAGATCGGTAAGTAATTTTGGCGTCGTCGTAATCATAGTAACTGGTAAATTCTACGTACTGTCATGGAAACACCCATGGTAAATAGTCAGAAATGACCGATCGCGCAAAAAAATACTATAAGATACACGTGTATAATTGGTCTTTAAAGCACGTGCAACGTTAAAGGCACTCCGCTTTGCGTCGTGCCCTTAAACTCGTTGCGCGTGCTTTAAAGACTTGATTATACACTTGTATCTTAATATACTATTATTGTACTATACCTATTTGATTTCGATATTTAATCTCGATTTGACGTTGCAGGTAAAAGTGGCAAAGTTCCACCTGATATACGAGGCTAGAAAACGTAGCCAGCGCCAGGTTAGCTGTTTTTGACGTCACTTGTTGGATCGCCATCGGCGACTTGTACATTTCACTATGTTTTTGATGTTAAAACGAGTCAGTTTCGCTAAATTTCTGTGGTCTTTCGACCATTCAATCGAAGATTGCTGTGAACGGGATGTAAGGTTGGAAGGAGGCTTTCAATGTGATAATAGTGCCTTTTTCGCCTTTATGTATGTATATTAGGTGTTTCAAGATAGGGGTATATTAAATAAACTGAATTACGTTTCTGATTCCTTGAACAATCGTTTATATCGTATTTATATGCGCATAAGACATTGGGGTAAATTATAATTCAATTTATCATTAAAATATTGACTGGAATTGTGTACATATTGATTTAGATTTAGATTAGAGCTTTCAGTTAGGAAAATTACATGGAAAAAACTGCAACATATAACGTTTGCATCATATGTAGGTATATGTATTACCTGCATTTAACAATATTTATTGTTGTAAAGATATAATTCAAGTAACATATCGATTTTGATTAAGTATTTATATTTTATAATTTGTGTTTTATCTAAGCATTAACTGTCACAATTTTTCTTGTCATAAATCTACTGAAATTATTCAATACCACACTATTTGTTTACAGATCTTGTATAGACAAAGCAAAAATGTTGCCGGGGGGGGGGGGGGGGCGAATACCCAAGCAAAATTAAACTTGCAAAGTCATCATTTTAAACACTGAATGACTGTCACGTGGCAAAAGGGAGGGGAGGAGATCATGCGAGAACTCGCACATCGGGGAGCGCGTGGCCCGGGCTCAATCACCCCGGCACCTCTATCAAACGACGTTTGCATATTTGGTTTGTGACTAATGACTAGCTCGTCTCAATGAGAATCTCGTTCGTACGTTTTTAAATTAATCAATAATTGTGAACATATTGCGCGGGTAATCAGACAGATATTTTAGGTACGTATATATCTGTACATTATTATATTATTTTCATTCAACCAAAACTTTTACTTACTTTAGCAAGAGTAGGCCGCT